AATTCACTATGATCTCTGCAGCAGGAAGGTGAGCATATCTTTGTGGTTGTCATACCCAGATCACTCACCTGGCAGTTCAAAGCTCTGTTTCTAGACTACAGTTTCATCTCTTGTTTTCTAGCATTTGTTTTTCATTTTTTTTCTCCTTGCTGAGCATAGGAGGATTATCGTTCAGCACAATTTCACATTTGCTCCTGAATGACAGAGCTCTCTCAGGGCTGCCAAGTTTGCTGAGAGCTGCCATTTGAAACGAAGTAGGATTTAACAATTACAATTAGTTTCAAAATGCTGCATTCCCAGAGCTCAGAAGTGACTGAGTAACCATTGTCTTCTGCAAATAAGTGAGAAACGTGGATTTTTGGTGGGAGGGTTAACTTCTAATATTTTTACTTTGTCTTGGGTGATGCATTTACAGTCATGGTTGAGTCGCCATTTAGTGGATGGTTACCAGTTTGCTATATTGGATTGAACCTTTGGATACCCTAGACTTGCAGGTCTGCTGGGTTTTGGCTGAGTTGGGTCATTGTTTCCATTTCTTGTTTCCAGCGCACAGTGTTCTCAATGTAGACTTTGCTTGCACCTCTTCTTGGGATGTTTGTTTGTTTGTGGGACAGGGGTCAACTGTCCTTGGCCCTGTAACCTGCGCTGAAACTCCCAAACCTCCCTGTTGGCCTGTGCACGCTTCCCCAAAGCCTCACCCTTGTGGATGTTCTTGTTTATAATTAAACTCTTTGGGGACCATGTGACAGGCAAAGTAAGAAACACAGGCTTTGCAAAGGAACTTCTATAACATTTTGGGGTAGTCTACACTAGAAGCGCTACAACAGCACAGTTGCACTGCTGTAGTGCGTCTGGTGAAACAACAAAATACCTGAACGCAATTTGCCTTGTTCAGTCTTCACCATTCCTAAGAGTCCTTGGGTCTTGGTCAGTGTCCTTGGGGGAAGGCAAAGTCCTTTTTGCTTCCTTTCCACTAGCTGTCTCTTCTCTTCCTATCGGAGGTATGGCCCCTTGAACACAGAACCTCTCCTGCTTATGAACTGGGTTTACTTCCACCAGATCCTTGTTTCGTAGGGGTAGTGAAGTGGATAAGAGTAGTTAGCAAGCCAATAGTACTTAGGAGCCACCTGGTTGTTGATTCACAGAGTCGAAGGCCAGAAGGGACCACTGTGATCATCTAGTCTGACCTCCTGGAGAACATGGGCCATAGGACTTTCCCAAAATAATTCCTGTTTGAACTAGAGCAGATCCTTTAGAAAACCATGGCTCAGCACGACTCTTTCTATGTTAGTTTTCCATAGTATGAGAAACAGAAGTTGTTATGCATCGCAAACAGGCCACACATAAACCAGTTCAAACTGGCTCTCAACACAGGACACAAAGTAGTATCAGATACAACATGAGGGTTCTAATTTACAATGCAGGTTCAATCATAAATGATATGAAAAAAATGAATTTAATTCCCCAAATTGTCACTAGGGTCGCCAACTTTCTACTTGCGCAAAACCGAACACCCTTGCCCCGACTCTGTCTCACTCCTCCCTGCCCCACCCCTTCTCCAAGGCCCCCCCACTCAGTCACTCCTTCTCTCTCCCCCCGTCGCTCGCTGTCGCCGGCCTCACTCACTTGCTCATTTTCACCAGGCTGGCTCAGGGGGTTGGGGTGTGAGAGGGGGTAAGGATTCCAGCTGGGGGTGTGGGCTCTGGGGTGGGGCTGGGGATGAGGGGTTTGGGGTGCAGGAGGGGGCTCTGGGATGGGATCGAAGGGTTCAGAGGGCAGGAGGGGGATCAGGGCTGAGGCAGTGGGTTGGGGTGCAAATGCCTCTTTGGGAAACCCCTCAACTAAGCCCACTAATAAGTGGCTCAGAATAGTGGCGGACAGAACACCACAGTAGGTGTAGTGTGCACAAAATCTCTACCTCTCAGGCTAGCATCAGATAGAATTCCTTCTGCAAACCAGGGCAGAGGAGCCTTTACTAACAGAGCAAAAGGATCCTCCACTTATGTTTGCGGCCCCAGTGTGTTGGCAACTCGAGACTGTACACTCTGTGGTACAGACAGTCACCTTTGTAGAAAGCCACTAGCACATTCTGCGTACTGCCATAACAAATAACCTCTCTGAGTCTCTGCATTGGGAGCGGTCTGCTTCACTGCCAACAGCAGTGGAATCTTACTATTTCTGACCATGAGGAAAGATCTACTGACATTTGGAGTTTTGAACCCATAGGCATCAGGGAAATGGATAGACTGCCCTATGCTAGACTTGAAATTGTTAAACAGCTTCAATGCCTGTGCGGTTCAAAGAGGAGTTGATCAGCCACCCCAGGGAGTCACCTGGAATCCCCTTAGACCTGCGTGGTGTATATGTGTTTGTACCAATTGTTACACAGCATCAACATCATCTGAGATTCCACCTCTGGGGAACAGTATGCATGATCTCACACTTTTTATATTACACATTATAGACACACACGTCTCAGCAGTTCTAGTCTTTAGCAGAACAGTTCTAGCTTCTGGCTGAAATATTCTTGTCCTGTTGTATGGAGAGAACGTTACATAGATCCTATCCTTTCGACTCAGAATATATACACTTGTAAAGTATTTTTCAGTGTTAAGGTCAGTCTCCAGCATCTCACCCTTACTTGTAGTTCTTACTGGTGGTTCCATAACTGCCAATATTCATTATTACTGTCTGTTCACAGAAATATTTCGCTTGAAGGTCAGTCAGTATGGCCTTCCAGCACGAGTGTTCTCTTCTGGAGAAAAGATAATTGCTTCTTTAGTTCTCAAGCCATTTTCACTCTCAGGTGCGTCTTACCTTTCAGCTTATTAGATATGTTTTCTTGTAAATGCTATGGCATTTGCACTAGAAAAGCTAGCAGGAGCTTGGAGATATCCTTTCTAGGTGTTCATACTTTATAGTGCCAGTGAGTCTGCGAGTTTGTCAAAGTGCAACATATATAAAACCCCAACCAGTGAGAGATGGCCCTTATCCATTGGAAAAATAACATGGGTAGACTGTCTATGCATTAGGAAATATACACAGATATATGGTAATGTTATAGTAATTATTCTTGATTCTTAAACTATGTGAATTAGACACGTTACCTACTCCTTGAAGAAGCTATCAGTGTATTTTTTTTTTAATGACATGATGGTGCTTTCTTTCCATGTTGCCCCTTGTTCATGGAACATCCTTCCTAAACTAGCTTTCTTGATTGCCACCCCAGTCTTCATTCAAGACCCTCTTGAAAATCTTTTTTATTAAGGCCTGCTAGAAGCAAGTTTAGAACTCTGTGTGTGTGTGTGTGTGTGTGTGTGTGTGTGTGTGTGTGTGTGTGCGCACGTGCACACACATGTAAAAAGTTAAACTGTTTATTCCTGTGTCACTATGCCCCATATTCTTCATAGAGATATTGTTATGATATGAATATGGCATAACGAAGATGTGTTGCATGCAAGACAGGTCATGTGAGGTATCATTGGAAAGGTTGATTTACTGAATATGATTATCCTATTTGTAGGCATGTATCCTTTCTGAATCTGAAGTTAGGAATATTGACTATGTAATAATTCCAAGTGGGTTTACACCTGGGGAACGTCCACCAGACAGAATACCATCAGCCTGGACAGGCAATTAGGGAGAATAATAGGACTTTGAAGATGCTAATCTCCCACCTTCCTGAGAAGCTTCCTGTGATGCTGCAAACAACCTTTGACTCATGACTGCTTTTACACTGCAGAGTCATGTGATCATGTCACCTGGTACTGGACTCCATGTTGGACTACTAGTATTTTTCCACTAATAGGAGGTGGGGATCTAACTGGGAAACAAAGGATTCCCACCATATGTAAATCCTATTAAGGCAGGCAAGTGAGTTAATCAGGGTTCATTCTTCACTGAATCCCTGCCCAGGATGACTGCTGGAAACATCTAAGAAACGAGGACAAAAGTGGGGGAGAAGAGCTGAGGCAAGGCTGGTTAGTCCCTCTATTCCTAGCTACGTCTACAAGTGTCCAGCATCTTCTACTGAATATCTTTAGATCTCTGTAGAAGCGGTTGAAAACATGTAGGAAGAGCCAGCACCATGTGACCTGGCATCTCTGCATGGACAAGATTTCGCGACTACTTTCAAGGTCTCGGAATTTGTTTTCATTCCTCACTGGAACAAAACCAAAACTTTTTGAATGTTTTTGTGAAACAGAATTGTGTAAAAGATCAGATTTTTTTTTTTTTAATAATTTTTCTTCCCCATTCTCTGGAAATGACTACAGAGTCCGTCATGGACCTCAGAAACCTTTCTGGTGGAATCGAATATGTCTCAGGGAAATGTTTGAACTTAGATACAATATCATATTGAAACAAAGATGCATTTAATCAAAAGTGTCAAGTATTAGGGGGTAGCCGTGTTAGTCTGTATCCACAAAAACAACAAGGAGTCCGCTGTCATCTTAAAGACTAACAGATTTATTTGGGCATAAGCTTTTTTTTTTTACCCACAAAAGCTTATGCCCAAATAAATCTCTTAGTCTTTAAGGTGACACCGGACTCCTTGTTGTATTTAATCAAAAATGACCCAGCCACCTCTACTCTGCGCTCACCCACAGTTTGAGAATAGAACATATACTTTTTTCAAGATTGCTTCTTTAACTTACAAATTAGATGGTATGGAACAGTAATATTCTAATAGCTTCTGGTTTGCAAGAGACTTAAGTGTAGTTATAATGTATGTGTAAAGTCAATGATGACTTTCAGTGTCAAAGTGCTGTACAAACATTAACTAATCCTCACAACTACCTTTCTGAGCTAATTACCCCAGCTTACTGGGGAAATCTCTGGCACAGGTTTGTTATACAGTGAAAAATGGGATCAGAACACACAGAACCCCTGTTGTGCAGTCCTGTGCTGAGTGCTTGACAGATCTTGTGTTGTATAACTCCTAGAATAAAACTGTTACCATGACACAATCACTAAATGTGTATTTTTTTTTTTCTTCACAGTGAAAAAAGCAAAACTCCAGGGGCCACCAGGTGAGCTAGACTTTCCTTGCTCTAAGCAGTCATTAACCTGCAGGCACCGCTATTGATTTTTAAGGCTGTTCAATAGTCTGTTCTACTCTTCCTGCTATATCTTGTGGGCTAACATCACTGAATGTATGTTTCTCTTTGCTGTGGGTATTATTGTGCACTGCTATTACATACTGTGTTTTCCTCATTTCTGAGAAGAGAGTTAATTCAGAGGTCTTGGAGAGATTGTCACAATGCAGGAGGAGCAATCAAGTACACAAAAAGGTGGTCTAATTTTCATACTTTTAGAAATGTTTTTTCTTATCATGGTCACTAATAAACCTGAGCTGAATATTTGTGTTCCCTCGCTTCTCATCTTGTCTAGATTCCTTCTGTGACTGTTTTCTCAAACTCTTGTTGACTAATAATTAGCATATGCAGAGTATTCTTTGGTAAAATCATCTTTCCGGCTCATTTATCTAACCATGTCAACCCCCTTGGGATCTCTCTTGTGTTCCCCCTTTTCCTCCCAGCTTCTTGTCATTGACTTCAAAGCTCTTCATAACTTAACTCTGCTCTGTTTAGCTGCCCGAGGAACTTACTGTGAGGTTGACCGCTGCCTTCGCTTGGCCAACATTTCCAGCTTTTCCTGCCCCAGCCAGTTTTTCTCTCAAGCAATTTTGTGTTTCTTCCATGCTACCCCTTATGCATGAGAGATTGCGTGATAGAATCCAAACAGGCACTACCTTATCCTCCTTCAAATTCCTCATTCAGACTCTCTTCTGCCGTGATGCCTACAAAACGCTGCCTGTTAACCGTGGCTGGGTGCGTGATGAGCTTCCTTCCTCTTCCTACTCCATTATTCTTACCAGCTCCCTCCATTCTAGCTACTCCCCATGCCCTGCCTCTGCCCCAGGTGATGATAAAACTTGAAAACTGCCACTGAAAAAACATGTAAGCAACAAAACTGGACCAATGTTACAGGCTTTGTCCCCAACCCCTTTGTGTGTCTTCTAGTTCAGTGGTGCCCAACCTTATTACCCAGGAGGGCCACATAAACCTAAGCACAACCTTGTGTGGTTCAAACAGAGTCTACATATTTTAATAAGATTTGAAATTATTGTATTGGTTTATATTTTTTCTGCTTGTTTTGTATGTATTTAGATAGGTTTTCTATGTACAGTATTGTCGATATACACTTGTGTAAACTAAAATGATGTAAATATTACGACAAAACGCAAATGAATCGGCTGTTAGTGTATTGTGTTGAAGCAGGCCATGGGTCTTATGAAATGCTCTGGGGGGCCATGTATGGCCCATGGGCCACAGGTTGGGCACCCCTGTTCTAATATAAACTCTCCCGATCAGAGTCAGTCTCTCTCTCTCTCTCTTCCTCCAATAGTTTCATAGATAAGGCCAGAAGGAACCATTGTGATAATCTAATCTGACCTCCTGTATAACATTTGCCATAGGCCTTTCCTGGATGAATTCCTGTTTGAACTAGAGAAACTATTAGAAAAACCTCCAATTTTGACTTAAAAATGTTCAGTGATGGAGAATCCACCACAGCCTTTGGTAAATTGTTCCAATGACTAAGTGGAAAACAATGCCTGGCACAATGGGGCCCTCATCCTGACTGAACCCTTTGGGTGTTGCTATAACAAATGTTTAATATTTTCTATTATCATAGTGCTTAAAGGCCCTGATTCGGGGCGAGAGTCCCATTGTGCCAAGCACTGTGTACACACAATGTAAAACACATTAAAAATAGCCCCTGGCCCCAAGAGCACACATTCTACAAAGTGGTCCAGTATCGAGCATTGTATTCAAATATGAAGTACGGTAGCTGAATATTTCTACTAAAATGATTGGCAGTGAAATAGTTAGTACTGTTTATACATAAAGTATTAAATTTCAGTGTTAATTCCCTATATGAGATGAATGAGAGCAGTTCATACTTTCCCCAGCGCTATTGTTTCCAGAAGGCTGCACACTCAGACAGTTTGTATTTCATTCACATTTTAAAGATTATATTTGCAACAAGGGCTAGGCACTTAATTTTTTAAAGAAATGAAAATGGTTTCTGGAGCATAGTTATGTGGCAGCCTGAAAACAAAGGCAATTATGCAGCAATTTGCATGGTTGCATAATCTCTCACTACATGGCTCATTCCGAGATGTGTGTGGCTTCATTGACATACCCAACATCTTATTGTGTGACAGTGGTAAAATTGGGACTAGAACCCAGAGTCCAGTGACTCCCAGTTTTGTCTAAACCACTGGACTATGCTGCCTCCCTGTCATCCTTTTGGTTCTGGGCTACTGTCTGACTTCACAATTCCCGTACACAGTAGCCGCAGTTACAGTCCATCACAGTTCTGATTTCTTGGCTAAGAGTGCAGAAAGGTTCCTAATCAGTCTGTGTGGCCAATCGCTAGGATATGCTAGTGTAGCCTGCAGCACCAGTCTGCAGTTTTGATCATGAATCTGAGGAGTAATGGACTATGATCTGACTTTTTTTTTGAGACTCGCTATACTGGGACACTGCATTGCTAAAATGTTCCCTCTTTTGAAATTTACCCCCTGCTTGTTTAGTACATGACGTGTGCAGAGGTTGATGTGATTGGTTGGGTGCCTCAGGCAATAACTGCTCCTTAAATGGGAGCTTGTTCATTCTCAGATTGCTGGGTGTTTAAACTTTATATCGGCCTACGCCCACATGTCTCTTCATCATGGCTAGTAAGGAATAAATAGCAGCTACAAAGGAGGTGTGGTTCGGAATTGTGTTGCGTAGAAATACTACAAGGTAATTCGTTTTTTTAATATTTATATATACATATATAAAAATTAAAAAAAAACTCAAACTGTCAAAACATGACAATGTGGCTTGTTCTTTTAGTACAGCTGGCTTAATATTAAGCTGCATAAGTTTCAAAATATATTTTTTCATCAACTTGTTCTCAGAAACCCTTATACATGGTGTCACAGAGGAGGATCCAGATTCATGAGAGTAGCTTGTTTAACTTCAGGCTGTGTCCCTCAGTGCATATTGTACACTTTTTTGGTTACTGCATCTGTTTAAGGGATAAATGATGTCCTGGCCTTTAGGTCCAGTTTCCCCCACCTGCCGTTGGGCAAGTTGTCACTTGTATTTGTTTTTCTTCAGGATTTGATATTTTCTCTTAAAGTTGCTGTTAACTTACTGTAGGTGATCATAGCTTGCCCTCATTTTAGAGAGAGAATGATTTTATTCAGTCCCGTATGAATCTCACCTCTCTAAGAAATTGAGGGTAACATTTTTGTGGAAGATGCAAATCCATGAAAGATTTTTTTTCAAATGTTTTCTTATAGACTTCATAAATAGCCAGATAACGTGCCTACCAATAGCATTTTTTGTGTGTAGTAGAACAACTAGCGGCTTTATAATGTTGCTTTTGTAAGAGACGGTAATAGCAAAAAGTAATCATTTTACTCTTTCTTTGTTTAGATAAATTTAATACCTATGTGACCTTGAAAGTGCAAAATGTGAAGAGTACAACAGTTGCAGTGCGAGGGGACCAGCCCTGCTGGGAACAAGACTTCATGTTGTAAGTACAGTCCTGTACAACAACTAGATGTGCATAGAAAGATCAACCCTTAAAAAGAAATACCATGACCAACAGTTACTTGTACAAACCATTGTTTTAAGATTCTTTTACTATTGTAAAATCAAGTATGTAATGTTAGGGGGCTTATTCCTTCACCCTCTCACTTCCCTGGTCCTTCTCGCATGAACAGAGAGCAGCAAATACCCGAAGTCCAAAGGTGAAAACAATTCGATGTTTATTGGGGTGAACTTCCAGCAAGCATGATTCCAGTTTCCTTCCTCAGTGTCCCCCCTTCCCAGCTCTGACACCACAGAGCCTTGCCTGTGTCCCTGTTCATTCCCTGTTCCCATTCCCCCACTTAGCAAAACATGATCCCAATTCCCCCACCCCCAGTCCCTGTTCCCATTGCCCCCTTACTTCCTGATTGACTGCAGACTATATAGTAAAACTTGAGTTCTGCTTAGCTAGACCTTAACCAATCATTTTACTGAAATTTAACTAACCAATCCTAACATATTGTAACATCTAAAAAGCAACAAAGAGTCCTGTGGCACCTTAAAGACTAACAGACGTATTGGAGCATAAGCTTTCGTGGGTGAATGCCCACTTTGTCGGATACTAAGTGATAAGAATACACCTAAATTCTTAAAGACAGGCCTGAATATTTATACCCTAACACGTAAGTCAGGAAATGTCAAAAATGTAGGTTGCCAGTGAAATCTGCCTCACTGTATGTATGTGTAATACAGTAATTTTTATTGTATAGTAGGGTTGCCAACCCTCCAGGAATCGGGGTCAATCTCCTGGTGACTATTGAAAGCAATCCTGGAGATTTTAATAGGATATTTTAAGAAAATGACATTACGTCATGTTTTTTGGGGGGGGGGATCTCCCAGAATAGTTTCAGTCAGAGTTGGCAACCCTACTGTATAGACTCCTGCTTCATTCATTATACAGGATGGATGATGCACAGTGAATGAGAGAGGTGGCTCATGAGAAGATCTTCAACCTATGAAAAGGTTGTGAAACCTCTGCTGTAGGGATAGAGTGCTCACTGTGCCTTGGTAGGACCAATCTAGGGATTGACATTCTCTAGAGACACCAGATGGACTGGATTCCTGCTCTTGGGTCCTGTGCTTCCAAACTGAGCCAGGCAGAACCTCTTTTATAGCTTTCAAAGATTTTTGACCCTTTGAGCATCTGTAGATAAGTCTTGTTTGGAGATCAGCTGCCACTGCATTAATGCCTTTTAGCATGTTCTACTTCAGTGCCTTTCTTACTGCTTCCTGCAGTTTGGATTGACAGATCCTTTGCTGTTAAAACCAGATATAGTTCTTCACCACTGAGGGCTTTGATTTTGTCTTGGATGGCTTGTTGGTTTGTCCTGTTTTCCAAGTTCCCCAGTGACCTACTACATAGCCATTTGGCTGAAGCTGTCAAGTTTCCAATACCCCTTAGAGATGATGACGGCTTCTGGCTGTTGTGGTTCATGTGCAATGATGACCTTAGTTGAGAGGGGTGTCTTTGGCCTCAGTTCTTCACGTGGGCATTGATGTTCGCATGTAACTCTGCGTATTGACAAGCCTTGACAATTCCTTGACTGGGACTGTTCACCAGCGTGCTGTGTTTTGATGGCTTTGAGGGTTAATCTGAAGAGTTGAATTTCATTTGAAGTTTTGACACTGGTCATTTTTAATGGCATTGAGTAGGTCTACATCAGCCCCTTTTGGTAATGGAAATTGTCTGTTGGTTTACTGACATTGTAATAAAGCTGGACTCCTAAGCTAACTTAGTCCACTTTGCTTTGAAGTGTTGTAAACCAGGTTTAGACTGTGGGATGAAAATACTATAAAGGGATCTGTGAAAATTGAACTATTTGCAAGAAATACAGATAAATAACATTGGTTTCTTTTTGGTTTTGGTTGGAACATAGAACACGTTTTCATAAAAACCTCAAAAAACATGAGAAAATCCTATTTGTGGGTGGTTTTTTTGTTTTGTTTTTTTTAATTAAAGAAAAATCTGTGTGTGTGTGTGTGTGTGTGTAACCGTTCTGCCAGGTGGAGTCAGCAGCAAGAAGGGCTGGGTTTGATGTCTAGGGCAGGGGTTCTCAAACTGGGGTCAGGACCCCTCAGGGGGTCGTGAGCTGTCAGCCTCCACCCCAAACCCCGCTTTGCCTCCAGCATTTATAATGGTGTTAAATATATAAAAGTGTTTTTAATTTATTGTGGGGGGGTCACACTCAGAGGCTAGCTATGTGAAAGGGGTCACCAGTACAAAAGTTTGAGAACCACTGCTCTAGGGGTTCCTCTTAACAGTACAAAACAGAACCCACTTGAGCCCCCACCCAGTAATCTGGGAAACCTTAATATCACCGCTGGGTGCCCCAAAGAGGCAATGCTTCCCCACTTGCAAGCACCGAGTCTGTGCACAAGAAAAGGGAACCCAGCATTAATTTGGGAAAACACCACAATCACTTTTTCTAAAGCACATGACCATAAACAAATCTGACCCTACCGTGCGTTGGGCAGTGTCCTTTGCCTCAGTTTCCCACCTTACAGTGGGAAGATCCAACTAATGAATGTCCCATTAACACATCATTCCCCTTTCCTTCTGCTGCACCCTGCTCACAGTTGGCTCTGCTTGGTTAGTGCCGACCCAGAGTTCAGAGGTGCATTCACGGGGTTTACCTCCCACCCTGGGGTGGGGGAGTGTGTTGAGCAATGCCTCTGCTACTGCCTCTGCAACAGGTTCACAGCTGCTGCTGTTTCTCTGTTGCTGCCCCTCTGTGCTGCTGCCCCGGCTGCTGCTGCTTCTCTGCTGCTTGTTGCTCCCGCGCAGGGCCGGCTTTAGGAAGTGCGGGGCCCAATTCAAACATTTTCGGCGGGGCCCCAGCAGAGGTGACTTAAAAAAAAAACATGTAAAAAAAAGCCTTTCATTTCTTAGCAACTGGTTCCCTATAAAAAGTTCTGATTTAAGGGATGTGCCACGGTATGTATTTTTTGTACCAATAGGGTTGCCATACGTCCGTATTTTCCCGGGAGACATTTTTAAATTTTAAAAATTCCTCCCGGACGGTGATTTAAGAACCAAAAAGCCTGACATGTCCAGAAAAATACGGATGTATGTTAACCCTACCTAAAGTTCTTTTTTAAAAAGATGGAAATAAGCTCCGTTTCACATGTGTGGGTCCCCACCACTCCCTGGGGGTGTGCTAGGGTGACCAGATGTCCCAATTTTATACGGACAGTCCCGATTTTGGGGTCTTTTTCTTATATAGGATCCTATTACCCTCACCCCCGTCCTGATTTTTCACACTTGCTGTCTGATCACCTTAGCCGGTGTGCACATGTGTGGGTCCCAGCTGCTCCCTGCCCCCCTCATTGAAGCAGGTGTGCAGGGATACTGCCCTGGGGACTGTAGGGCACCACTGGACATGGGGCTGGCTGGAGGCAGGGCAGGGGCTGACTGGAGGTAGGGTCTGGCTGCAGGCAGGACAAGGGGTGCGGGGCTGGCTGGAGACAGGGGTGCGTGGGGTGGGCTGGCTGGCTTCAGGCAGGGCCGCAGGGGGGTGCGGCATGGGTTGGCAGGGCTGGAGACAGAGGAGTGCAGGACTGGCTGGCTTCAGGCAGGGGAGTGCGGCAGGGGTTGGTTGGAGACAGGGCAGGAGGTACAGGGCTGGCTACAGGCAGGGCAGGGGATGCAGGGCTGGTGTGGGCAGGGGTGTGTGGGGCTGGCTGGCTTTGGGCAGGGCCGGAGGGGGGTGTGGCAGGGGTTGGCTGAAGACAGGGCCAGGGGTGCGGCAGGGGCTGGCTGTGGGCAGGGGGTGCGGGGCTGGCTGCGGGCAGTAGCAGGGCAGGAGGTGTGGGGCTGGTGCACGGCAGGGGGTGCAGGGCTGGTGTGGGCAGGGGGTGCGGGGCTGGCTGGAGACGGGCTGGCTGCGGGCAGGGCAGGGGGTGCGGGGCTGGTGCGGGCAGCGCGTGTGGGTACAGCCCACCCTGTACGGTAAGTGCCCCCTCCTCCTCCCTCCCCCACCGGGGTAGCAGCAGCAGGAGCTGGGGAAGCGGCGGGGCTCCAGCGGCTATTTAAAGGGCTGGGGCGGTAGAAGCAACGGGAGCCCCAGACTTTTTAAATAGCCCCCAGAGCCCCGCAGCCCTACCCCAGGGCTCCAGCAGTGGGGCTCTGGTGGCAATTTAAAGGGCCTGGGGCTCCAGCCCCTGCTGGGAGCCCCAGGCCCTTTAAATTGCCCCCTGGGGAAGCCGGGCCACCCGGGTACAGCACACCGGCTCTTGCTGGTACGCCGTACCGGGGCTTGGGTGCGGGGCCCTCTTGGGGCGGGGCCTGATTCAGGGGAATTGGTTGAATTGGCCTAAAGCCGGCCCTGCTCCCGCGATGTCATGTTCTGAGCTTCTTCCACTTAACTCAGGCCTTAGTGATTTCAGCAGGTAGTGGGGAACCTCACATCCAGTGCAGTCTGTGTTCTTTCACTGTCCCCACTCAAGGTCTGAGGCTTAGCTCCTAGATCAGCAGCGATGTCAGCTCTAGGAATCACCAGACAAAAACAAGGACTCTCAATTGAGTTCAGTCAGCTCAGTCATTAAATGGAGAGGGACAGATCAAATGGCATCTAGGACTCTTTGGGCAAAGTGTACACCACCAGGTCAGAACACCTGTCCCCACCCACTCTCTTCTTCACTAGGATTTGACATCCCTACTCCCTGCTTAGCAAGTGAGGTTCAGTTTAGGATGACCTCTCTCAATCAGTGTGTGCTAAGTACAGTTCTGCTGCCCTTTACTCATACAGTAAGGATAACAATATCTCTTTATCCCTGCATTCAAATACTGAAGTGATTTGTAACCAACAGCCAAAATTGATCTCTTTGGCAAAGCAGCTCCTTCTGCTGCACACCTAGGCGGAGTAGGCGTGTCTGTGTATACACGGTCTCCTCCTGAAATGTTTTCCCCCCAGGTCGTCACTAGATGTCAGGGAAAAGCCCATT